GAGAAAGAGAAAGAGAGAGAGAAGCAGAAGGAGGGAATTTGGTTCGGATATAGATGTGGAGGGAAGCACTTACAATAATTCCCAAATAAATATATATTATTTCCTCTTTCAACCCAAAAACACCATCATTTACTTATTACTTACCAGATTAAAAACATAATTATGAAATTTTATCTCATATAAAATATTTTAAAAAAAAATTAATAATAGAATTAGTAATTATTTATCATAATTATATATAAAATTAAATACTAATATTTTAAAATAAATTTTTAATAGATAAAAATAACTTTTTTAAATATATAATTTATATATTCATATTTATATATAATTTATTGTATAATTTAATTATATAATAAACATATATTACATAAATTAAAATACTAATAACATTCACTTTTATGAGAGATGTCAATATTACAATATCTTCCTTTTTTTATCTTTAAAACCACAATCCTATCCTTTTAAAGATTTTAATATCCAATATTTCACACATTTTTTAAAATTCTTCTTTAAAGTTCTATTAATTTCTATTTTTAAAAAAATTATTATCAAAATACACTTTATACTAATATTTTTTAAGGGCACTAAAATTCTTTTTGGGATATAAATATTACACCACTCTATCTTCTTGTATTAAAATAAATATTTTACTTCCTTAACAAAAACAAATATGTTAATCTTTAACAATTTATCCTTTAATTTATACATTTAATTATTATTTTAAAAAATATTAAAAATTTGGTTAAAATTAATTACATATCTAAAAAAATATTTTTATTGTTAATTTTACAAAAATATTTTTAAAGTTATATAACAAAATAATGTAGTTAGTGTAATATTTCAATAAAAAAAATTAAAATAAAACAATATTTTTATTATATGGTATTTATTATACATATTAAAGGTAATAATATATATATATATATATATTAAAAGTAATATATAAGTATTAAGATATTATTTAATTGATGTTATTAATAATTTTTTTAATAATATATAAATAAATTAGTGTTTTATGGTAAGGTATTATTTATTATATTTAATTAATATAATACCAAAAATTTGTATATTAAATATATAATTTTTAATAAATATATTTATATTAAGAAGCATTATTAAATAAAATTAATTATTATAAATTTTAATACTTTTATAAAAGTATATATAAAATTATACATATAGAATTTATTTTGTAGTTTCTATTTCATTTATTATTTTAATAAAATGTTTTTTAAAAAATTAATTATATATTTAATATTTCTTAATTAAGTGGATGAATGATAATGAATTAAAAAAATAAAATATTTTAATTAAAGATTTTTTTGTGAATAATTAAATTAAAAGTATAAATTTTGTGAATAATAAAATTAAAAATATATTTTAAAATCTTATAATCATTATTCTGTAGCAGTATTGTAATGACTCTTTATGATTTTTACACTAAACAACATAATTACAAGCAACGAACAAATAACTAATGTCTTAGAATTATAAGTCAACTAGTATTTGGATATGTACTGCATACTATTCTTGTGAAAATGAAATAACTGAATAAACATAATATATGTAAATACAATGGTTCAATAAAAGTAAATTATGCAATATAAATTGTCAATAAGCAACTTCTACAATTTATACAAGAATCACCCCCAAAAAGGTGGTCACTAAAAAGAACATCTAGCTCTAAACCACTGAATGGCCTCCATAGCGTAATTTCATATCTATCCCTACCCTACTCTCATATCATGTATGCTAAACGTAGTCCAAATCACAATGAAACACGGAAAGGGAAACTAGAGTTTTAAAGAAATAACATATATACAACCAGCAACATAAAATCATTAATAACTTTAATATATCAACTCGTCTTTATTTCACCTCCAACACTATCAACGAACATCATCACCATACATTCAACATGTATTAGCATAAACAACACAATTTGCTATAACAAGTATCAACTTGAACATCATAATATTAGCAACTCAAATTGTTCACCACGATAACACAACATTTACAATACAACAATTATATGCATTGTACATATTTTAACTAAGACATCTCCTATAACACAGGGTGAGCAATTTAAGTGATTTGACCCTACTAAACCAACAACACAAGATGATCTTTTTGGGTTTGTTAAATCAACAACAAATTGGATGTAAGCTTCCTATGGGATTAACTCGCCGACTACCCTTCAAATACTATGTCTTTCTAATACTCGGTTAAGAATTAAGTTTTTGACTTTATACATTACTTGGTTGATCACTTGTAATCAATATATATCAACTTGACACCTATATTGTGGTTGCTTTATATGTGTGTGTCTCAGCTTGACCCACACATGGTACCAACTAATCCTTATAATAGATTTAACACAACTATCCATTTTAAGGATCAACTTCCCAATAAGGATTTTCAATAAATTGGGTTCTTAGAGCACCATGACAAGACATTTGCACAATGTGGTATGCAACTTTTAAACCTCACCTATAGTCCTAGGTTGGTTATCACAACTCAATAACACAACAACTTCACACATATTCAACACAACTACACATTTAGCATACAACTCTACAACTCACAACACACATGTCAACTTTCAACTAACAACTCACAACATCATCATCATATTTAACACCATCCCTACTTAGTCATCAAACAACTAAATCATCAAGTATTCAATAACTCATCAAATAAATCAACATATTATCATTTTATAAATAGTGCCTAGTGCAACACACTTTGCGCCCAATGTCATCGAGACATGAAACTTTCTACCTCACCCATGCTTGACACGACACAACTTGCGCTGACGTGGGTAATTGATGCTAGCACTGTTCATTGTAATATTAACTATCCTTTTCTAATTTGTTGCTTTATTGTTAAGTCTCAATTATGCTTCTTTTTGGACAAGACTTATTCAACAATTCCACTCATCCTTTGCACCATTGCAAGATAATTGTTCTCTTTTTTATTTATTTTTTGTGCAGATATAGCTAACCCAGAATGTAGCTAACAATATCTTAATACACCTCATTTTTGTGTAGGTATTGAGCTAGAGAATTGAGGATAGAAGATCCTTTGGATTGAAAATCTAAGAAGCTAAGGAGCAGAGAAGAGTGACTGCGCCGAGCGCCACATTACCCGTGCCGGGCGTGATCGAGACAAAGAGTACATAAAACTCTCTAGAAGACATTGCGTCGGGCGTAAAAGGAATTGCGTCGGGCATGTACTGAGGCAGGAAGTGCTTAACTTCCCTGGAAGGCCTGCGCCGGGCGCGAAGACTTATGCGCCGGGCGCGAAACCCTAATCTGACTCCCCAAGCTCGTATTTGAAGGCATTTTCAGGGGTTTCTCTCCTCATTCACACATTGGGCGCGTTTTAGGAGTTGTGGAAGGGATTCCCGGAGCTTGAAGTCGTTCGTGTGTGGGTCTTTCCTTCGGTTCTTCATTTCTCCCTTCATCTCTATTTTGTATTTACCCTCATTGTTTTGAGTGGTTCTACCCATTTTTTGTGGGGTTAGATGTAACCAACGAATTCTAATGTAATCCTTACGTTTTCAATGATATATATATATATATGTTGTTCATTCATTGTTGTGTTGTTTCTATTCTTAATGCTTGCTTTGGATTGATTCTCCTTTGCATGATATAGGTTCCATTGGGTGTTGGAAAATAACCATTGAAACTAGCTCTGAAACAAATGCCTAGTGGGAAATGTATCTAGGAATGGAGCTTGGCCCATTAGTAGTCTTAAACCCTAGCCCGTAATGCGGGTGTAGATATTGGGTACTCAAGGAATTGATATTCAATATCCGCACCTAGGCTCTTGCTCTAAGGGATTAGGTTTGAGTAAACTTATGGGTTGACTAAGCAATGTATGTAACAAGAGATTAAGGAATCATTAGTCTGACGTTTGGTGAAATCTGACCCCACAATCTCACAAAAATCATAATATCATTTCTACCCTTTTCCACACAAAAACCAATATTTTATAGTTTTAACATTCCAGTAGTCATGCTTTTCAATTCACATTTACATGACAAACTACAAAATTGGAATTATTCTTTAGTCACGAATAGTCAATAAATGCTTATGTTACCTTCTAATCCTTGTGGATACGATAATTTTACTACTTGAACGGCCGATATACTTGTCGTGTTTGAGACCGTTGATAGAATTAAACTGATTTACAATTATAACAAAAGTATTTCAACGGAAAATCTCAACATTTATTAATTATTTAACCATCATTATTAAAAGTAATGCATTATTAAGTGGGTGAAATTATTTTAGTAAAACTATATCGAAAAGTGATACATTTATTATTATTTTTAGTCTATATGAACATTTAATAACTTTACACCTAATCTAAAGAATGATTTTTTATGATTTGAGTATCACTTATATGATTTATAGAGTAATTAATACTACATGAGAAATGGATAGTATCTCATTACATAAATAATAAATAAAAATAAAAGGAAATAATAATTAATATCTCAAAATAAGTATATAATGTATTTTAGATATGAGAAATAATGATTTTTATTTGTTTTTAAAAATTATCTTTCACTCGAGCGCGTGCGCGCATACACACACACATACACACACACACACACACACACACACACATATATATATATATATATATATATATATATAATTGGATCCCTCTTAAGGTACTTAATATGGGTAGGTATCCAGACCAATCTGACCCGTTCAAGGCCCAATCCATGAAGTCTGCATTTTTAACAAGTCAGATAAGCTTGACCCATGAAATAAACAGACTATTATTTGGGGTTTGTATCTGACCTGCGAAATCCACGAATAAATGGGCCGATACATGGACTCGATTGAGAAACACTCATTTGCCACATGACCTTATTTCTTTTTTGCCATTTGCCACCTCTTTGCATCCATTGAAGCAATGGAATATCAAAGCTGCACTTCCACATGAAGTCATCTAGGGATAAATTTAAGAAAGGATTAGGGTTTAGAGAATTGGGCTAATGAGCCCAACGTTTTAAGTTTGTCTTTTTTTTTTCTTCCATAAAGTCTACTAGGCCTTTTTTTTTATAATTAAGTTTAACTTCTTCTAATTGTTTTTTAAATTAGTATAGTATATAATGTACTAAATGTAATAACAAAAAATTGTTGTTCTTACACGGGCTACCTTTAGGGTTCGCGAATTAAGTTCGTGAAATCCACGAACTTTGTAGGCCAAGCCAGAAACTTTGCTATACTTATATAGATTTTAAAAAATTGGATCCGTATTCGCATGAGCCTAGACTAAACAGACCAATTTGCGTACTTGAGTTCATATATCTACCCTTAGTATTTGTAAGTCTTGAGACACCATACCTCTAGACTAAGCTTTAGCTTAGATTTGCTATCCATACATGTTTGTACACATACAAGATATCTTGAAACAATTACCTTCATATTATTAGTACTAGTAAAAAAAAAAAAGACATTTCATATTCTTAAGTTTTAAAAAATTAAAATAAAATAAAATAAAGATAATTGAATAGGTCATTGTCCATAGTTATCAAAATAAACATGAGAGGAGATTTTTTATTCTTTAACAATTGAAAGGTGTAATAATACACTAATAAATGAAGACAAAAAAAATAATTATACAATCTATTATTATTATATATTTTTTATATTAAGTGTAGATTAGTATTCCATGTTACTTTAGTTCCGCTACATCAAACATGGTGTTAGTTCTATTCTTTCTTCCCGAAACTCAATTTTTTATTTTTATTTTTTATTGTTCACTTTCCTCCGCGCGAATCACATGTGCAATAGTCCTTCAAACTTTGCTTCCACTTCTCAACATAACCACCACGTACTCTAGACTCTAGTTGGACTAGTTAATTCTTTTTAAATAAGAGAATTTTAAATACGAATCTTGTGCTAGTATTAGATAACTAACAATTAAAGTAATAGTTAATTGATAAACTTAATTAAAATTATTGTGTTGACTTTTTAGTTAAACTGAAGAATGATTAAGGATTGTATATATCTAACTCATATTTAATACAACAACCAAATTATGAGAGTTAGTTCTTTAAAGTTTAAAGCTTACTAGGCAGAAGAGGCTTATTTGAAGGAATCAAATTTATGTGCGGCATTTGTTTTATTCAACTAATTAAAAAGAAAACGAAGAGGGCTCAAATTGGCAATTGCGTGCTTGGATAACCTTTACATAAATCATTAAGAAATGCTAACATGTGTCTTTAAGATATTAATTAAAGAAATAAAAGTAAATTTACGATTAAAAACATAACAACACACTCCCATATGTTTTTAACGTAATTTTGAATTAAAAATTTGTATATAGTGATTACTCAAAGTGTTATAAAGACACCATTAACAAAATTCATTTTTTTTCATTAAATTAGTAATAAATTACATTTTTCCCTAACGATATTTATATTACCCTTCTTTCTTTTTGTTTTAAAATATACACTTCTTGTGTATTACATGAGTTTTTTTTTTAATTATAAATGATTTTGTTTTTAGTTTTTGTTCTCACAGTGATTCTTAATCCGATTAGCAAACAATTTTTAATATTTATTTTCAATGTTGTAACCATAGATGGTAAAATAAATATTTTAAACGAAATCTAAAAGACAATATTAAATATATTTAAAATAATATAATTTCCAAAATTAATTGTTGATGATACATAATATTTGTGTATATATATATATATATCATAAAAAGCTGGAATTATAATTATTTACTATTATTAAGAGACTTATTATACTAAAAAGTATTAAAGTATAAGTAATTTTTATTTTACAAAAAGAAAAAAAATAAGAACAAGTAATTTACTCTTAAATAATTAAGAAATGTTGTGACGTGTTTCTGTGGGCACTAGTACTGACGCTTACCATTTTAGACTTTTAGGAAGTTAGCATGTGTCCTCTTAAGTCTTAACCGTCTTAGACTGGGCTTTTCCTATTATGCTTCATCGGATTCATAGCAAGGACCGTAAACACAATTTTCCCATTTCTTAATTCACTCTTAATTAGTTCAAGTAGAGAGTTTTATCGAACATAATAACTTAAGTAGAAATACCTATATATATTTTCCGATCACAAACTACCATTAAACTAGTTTAGTTTTACAAATAAATAACCAAATTCATGTGATTGTTAATTGATTAAAATATTAGTCATTAAACTCTTCTTTTATTGTAATCAATTTCAAAAAAGCAAGTGAAGTTTTACGGAGCAATCCTCGTTGAGATCTTGCATGCTTGCATAGCACTAGCCAAAACGAAGTAAGCAAAAAAACAGCACAAGTTGACCTTATCACCATGCACATGCTCACTGATGTTAAAGGAGTCATGAACATTACATACAAAATTAGTACATCCTGTTGAGTTGTACACTGAAATAGTCATCTGCAACTATACCATACCCCAAAACAAATCCACCGTCTCATTTCTTTTCCTATATTTCATTTAGCAATAGTAAAGTATACCATTAACCATTGAATATATTCCAAATCAAAAAGAATACTCTTCAGCCACTACACCATCAAGTTCCATTTTATCAACGACTTTGATCTTTCATTTGGTTAGATTTTCCATCACTCCATTGAGGCCGCAATGAGATTCTGTTACTAGCTACACCCCTACCTTGTCCCCGACCAAAAGGCAGTGTCTCATATTGTGAACCTTGATGATAATTAGGAGCATTTGTTGACTTATTCATGTAACCAGCAGCATTATTGTGTGGTTGAAATTGAGAACTGCCACCGTGCCTCGGCGAATGATTAGACTCTGATATTCTGAAATGTCTAAACTTATCCACTAAGTGCTGTGGTCTCGTGTCTCTTGTAGTAGTGACTTGATAAGAACCTGCATCCTTATGTTGTTCATGAAAAGGAGACAAGGGTGTTGTCTCATTTGCCATCGAATCAATTCTTTTCCCTCTACCTGAACCCCCCCATCCAACACCAGCTTCTTTGTAAATCAAGGGAGGTGCATTTGATGAAAAGCTTTTTGCATGTTGGCTAGTTGCATTTGAGGAGAACCTTGAAGCACCACTCTTGCTTTCACTTCTCCACTTCTCTTGACTTTGCGTCCTGAATTATCAAATTGGTAAATAAAATTCATGTTTGGAAACCCATTGAGAAATAAGAAAAAGACGAAATTTAGATTCAAGTAATGTGCATTGACATTTAATAGAATCTTTATTACAAATTATGAAGGAGAAACTCCAAATTTTGATTGGAGAATAATACTGACGCATTTATATCTAAGTTTTATCTATAAAAATGGACAGTGGTGTTTGACATGTAAAAGTTATAACTACAAGCTTCTCGATAAACGTGAAACCACATCTGGAATTTTGAACCAAACACGCTATAAGAATTTATAAACAAAACGGAAGAGTACCTCTCAAAGCGACTAAAATATTTCTGACGTTCATGCCAGAGTTCTGTTTCCATTATGTCACCTTCAGAGATGCTCTACAAAAATTTTGGAATGATTTTCAAGAACGAATTATGATACGGACAGTTAACGTAGTTTTCTTGATCAGAAACTTGTTTAAAGAAGCAACTGAGTTTTACCTTCTCTGGAAGGTTCACACCTGATAGTAAGCGAGGAATGTGATTAGTACTGGGGGGAAGCTCATAATACACACATCTGAAACACAAACCGATATCAAAGTTATAGGAAATTGTCTAAAGTTGAATGCTGATTATGAAAGTGATGCTAGTTTCATACAAGACTCGTTCTTCTTTGTTGTCAAAAATTTCCATCCCCAAACAGGTCTTCTCAACAAACTCGTGGCAAAGACTCACCACACCTCCGATGCCGTCACTGCTAAGACTAAAAAGTATAAGAACACAAAATAAAAGAAACAATTATTTAGCCACAACCATCCATCATTGACCAACCTTATTCTTGTATCTAATTTGCTCGTTAGAGAAAGAGAGCCAACTTTCTCTGCTAATTTGCTAGTGCTTCTAACAAACAAGCTATCAGCTTTGACAGAATTTCTCATGGCTTCATTTTCCTATTGAAGCACAGTTGGAGATTTAGAGGACATGCAGAAAACATTGACAATTCAAGTATTCAAAATATTTGTACGGTGTGCTAGGTACTAAGTAATTCATACTGATAATTCGTTTTTGAGCTCTCTGGTTTCAGCCACAAGCCGTTTATCATCTATCCATGGAAGCTTGCAGACTCCCTTGAATGAAAGACACAATTTGTTTCCATCAGTATATATTGTACTGCATTGAACAACAAAAAAGCATGCAATAATTACAAGAGATTTGAGTAAAATAACCTGCCACAAGAAGCGCTTTCCTTCGATGTCGACTTCAAAATCTACAAAACCAAAAATAGAGTAACTGGAAAACGAGTACATAGAACCAAAAATTGAATAAAATACTGCAAACAAGATAAAACAACTTACCTTTAGGATAAAAGTCAAGAATTCTGGACTGCTCATCTAGCATCAATTGCGCATAGGCTTTTGGAAGTGCATGAGCACTGCACAGGAGTAAAATCAGATAATTTATCATGGTGAAAGAAACCTATAGTGAATTCAAAGTTTAAGGTATAAAATGGGTTGTAAAATAGAAGAACATAAGAAAGTTACCTTGCTGGGGGCAGAACACTTAAAAGTTGATTAAATGGTAAGAATGGGACACCTTTTTCAAATTTTACTCTCACCTGACCCATACCCTTTAAGTCCGAAGCAAATGGACCATAGTGGAATGGATAAAACCTGTATATTGCAGTGTTCATGTCACATTTTATATACTTCTTTAGTTAATATATTACACATAAGAATTCAAGCTAGATATTCAATGATATTGGCTTACCATGTCCATGAAGCAACTCCTGAAAAATAGTACTGAAGAACCCACACCAATCCTTCCGTGTACTTCTGGACCTACAATTAAATGACAATCTATCACCAACACCAATGAAAGTTGACTAGCAAAAAGTACTCTGCTAGTGCAACTTAATTGAGAAGGGAAAAGAACAAAATCCAACAAGACAGCAGTTGGTAAAGTTGAGAGAAAACACATACTATTTCTTTCTTTTTGCACTCAATGTCAGCAGGGCCCTCTACAGAAAACTTTTCTTTATAATATCTTTCTTTGTAGCCAGGTGTTCCCAATTTTATCTGAAATGAATGGTAACAACACTTACTAATTACTAATCAACTATTCAATTTTAAAGTAAGAACTCATTTCCATTGATCACAGAAAAATGTCAAATTAATAAAATAAGCAAAGAATTAAAAATGGCTTTTTTGGGCAATAGTATGAGCTCAATTTTCATGTGCAGTGTCAGTAATGTATAAAGATTTACACACTGTTTACCAATAAAAAATCACGTTATGAGTGATTTTTAAAGCAATTATTATAAAAATCAACAAACTTACCAAACATATCAATCTGTAATTGGATTACTTTGAGTGCATTCTAATTAATTTTCATGGTGTATACCTTGTCGATTAGGAAATCCCCACTCTTAAACAAGTCAGATTTTTCTCTGATACATTTCTTCAATTCATCTTTTAAATCCTTGGTGTTCTGCTCAATCTGACAGAGCAAAAAGATTATTAACAATTCAGCATCATTAAGCTCCATCAAAACAAGTTGCTGCAAAAATTCACTAATCAAAGATGTCAACAAAGTAAAAAATATACAAGTGTAGACAAATTGATTGACAAAGAACCAACTTACCTCGGCACATGTAGCTGAAACATTATTGACCAAGCCAGACAAATATTTTGAATTTGGTGCCTTCTTAATCAGAAGAGTACAATCAGAGGTATTTTCATCGTCAAGATCTGAGTGGAATCTTGCATTATTTTCTTCCTGCTTCTGGATGGCAATCAGGTAAATCCATGAGTCCAATACCTCTGTAAAATATGAATGTATATTTTAATTTTTCAAATATATTTCAACTTACAGCTTCCTCATAATCTTGAATAAGCCTTCGCACTTTTCGTTCTCGTATTTCAGATCTTTTCTTAAAAATTTTCTCTTCATAAGAACCAACCATAAGTATAAATTTTTCAACTCTTGATAGCTTCATAAAGGCAGCATTTTTCTCTCCAATCTGCTTTCATAACAAAGGCACGGAAGGGTTACTCATAAAATAGATTACCAAATCAAATTGATAGAATATAGGGGTGAAAAAAAAAACAGATAAATACATGAATAAGACAGTAAAAGTGATACCCTGCTCATGTCCACAAGATATCCTCCAAGTTTATTGAATTCTTTCTTGTAAACAGTCATTAGCAAATCAATAGCCCCCTGACAAAATTTAGCCAAACAAATAAGGATAGCTGACCATGCATTTTATTTTATATTCAACATATCTAACAAAAAAATTCTTAATGACCTCATGAACTTCCAAAGATGGCATGTGCGGCAGAAAATCATTTCCAGCAAAAAAGCACATGAAGATGAAGTCATCAATTATCCTCTCCAACTCAATGCTGCAATTTTTGGGAGGATCTTCTATCTTCATGTCTAACTCAAGATACTCCCTCAATAACCAAATATGCAAAAACTGCAGATAGATAAAATTATAAGACTCATGATATCAACAACAAAGTTGTAGTTGTAGAAAATAAATCAGTTATTATACCTTGAAAGGCTTGGTAGCATCTTTTTGGTGTTGCTGCTGCGGAGAGACATCCTGTAAAAGCCCAGAACGTGAGGAGTTGATTTCTATACAAAAGTAAAGTAGTAAATTTCAAATCGGTAGCTATTGCTACATATTTAAATTAAAATATCACTTTATTACACGGTTCAGTGTATTTGGTTTTTCTAGTTAAGCTATACAAGATTATATTTATATCTTGTCAAATTCACCTCTCTTAATATTGAAAAGTGGGGCTCATGAGTTGCCATTGCAAGCATTATGAGATCAGCATCCTGCATTCCAATTTCAAAAGTTGTTCTATAAATTGAACATCAGAAGAAACAAGAACTCTGTCAAATCAACTTTATTTTTAATTATGATATACTTACGTTGCCATATATGCAGTGGCTGGTATTTGGATCATATTCCTCTAGACTACGCTGTTTGCGAATGAATTGCATAATCTTATGTTCCCCTTCCCCGGGAACATTAGCATCAGAGAGAATTACCTAAGTTCAAATTATCAAATTCAAGAAGGAAAAAATATTTACAACATAGCAATGATTTACAATACCAAATATAGAGTGAATGAAGCCACTTCAGGCACGCATGTCATACCATAATATTCCTCCATAACGAGTTGCTGCTTATCCTTGTAGAGATATAGCTTTTAATGGCATTTGAGAGTTCATGCATGAACTCAGTGCCCGGTGTTATAATATTTGAATCTGACACTTCAGATTCTTGTTTAGGAAGAACTTCCTTCCCTTCCATTTGGAATTGTTTCTTCAATCTCTCCTCCTCAGCTTCCTATAAATACAAGGGGAAAATAAATTAAAAAATTAAAGGCCTTAATTATATCATGATAATTATAATGACAAGGGCAAAGAGATAACATTACTAGACCACTTTTAATAAATGAAAAAAGAGAGATTAAAGAAAAGGATGAGTAATAACTTACTTGAATTTCATTGTCTTTAGCAGCTTGAAAACGCCTTGATCTTTGTTGGTTCATTTTCGCACGTGGGGCAACTCCGTCTATGTAAGAGAAACACAGACCCTCATTATTTGAACTAATCATTAAACAACAATCAAAGATATTGAGGCACTAACTAGCTATCTCAACATGGTTGGGCTGGTTTCACCTCTAGCACGTTTCAGATATGATTTTAAGAAGCTAAAAGTTATAGCTTCCTGTTGAGGAGGAGGGGGTTCCCACACATATACACATGTCTCCACAATGGTGAGATATTGTCCGCTTTAGGCATAAGCCTTCACGGTTTTGTTTTTGAACATCACTCAAAAGGTCTCTTTACCAATGAAAACAATTGTGTATATATAAACCCACGTACATCCTCTTGTTTGAACGATGTAGGACTTTACTTGCATCTCAATACTTCCACTGTCCAAACATAATTCCTTACACATGTAGAAGAAGGGTTTCTAAACATGCTACTCATACTATACTAGTAGTAAATATGCAATGAGAAAGCAACCAAAGCCATATTTGAGACAAAGTCGGTTTGGATATAAATTTAAAAGTATTTTTAAGAATTTCTCTTAAAAAAAAGACTATTTATTTTTCAGAGGGAAACTTTTAAAAACTTTTCTTTATCAAAATAAGCTTAACATTAATACACTTGCTAAGGCATTAAACTCAAGAAATAAAAAGTACAAAGCGGGGTTAATGATGAGTTAATAATGTAAGTCTCGTGTCTAACCAATAGCCATGTAAAGGAGCTTCCCAGGCCTAACAGAATCAACAAGCCGATCAACGTAGTCAAACACATTCTTGAACACATCTTCGAACGTTCTTGGAGGAACAATCTGAAAGACATAACACACTTCAGAAATAAAGCAGACTAAGCTTGCATGTTAGGGACAGAAAAACAAAAGAAAAGCCAATGGAAGAACGAAAAATACGTGACTGAGAGCAAACGAAAAGTGAGAAACTAACGTTGGCATGATCATCAGGGTGAAAGCAAGGGTGGATGATGGCGTTCATGTCAAGATACAAGTTATCAAAATTGAGTGAAAGGTTTTGCATGGTGGGGTCCACGTCTTGCACCACCTTCGGATATTTCTCAACCAACCATCTATAGAACGCAGGCACACCCATAACTCAGTGTTTCCAAGTTTCTGATGATTCAAAATCAAATCCCTTTCAGTTAGTGAAAATGGCATGCCCTTTTGATGAATCACTGTTGCACTAAACTTTCTAAATATGCTATAATCTTCCGAAACTTGATTCAAAGACAACGTTCTCAACAGTCAATAAAAGCCATGGAGATTTATAAAAATAAGCAACAATAAAAACAAAACAGATATGTTATAGAACAAGAAGATCAATGATATGAAAAAAAATATCGATGGTAGATACCTGAGTCGCAGTGAGAGGAAAAGTGAGCTATCTACGAAGTTAAGTAGCTTAAACAAGAAGTTAAGTGAGAAAACGAAGAGTTATGAAGGGAGGGTAAAACAGTATTTTCAAACCGAAATTAAAGTAATCATTAGTTGAGCTCACGCTGTACTTAATTACCATCTTCGAGAAAACAAATCATTAAGAACCACTAAATGTTTTTCTAAAAATAGAAAATTAAATAATAATACGGTGCCATTTTTATAATTTAGGGTTATACAACACTTTTTTTTATAATTTTTTTTAGTATTTAATCAAGATCTTTTAATATATAAAAACATGTGACATTCTATTAAAATAATAATTATTTATGATTTTATTAAAATTTGATGATATTTGATTAATAAAATATGTTTTATTTAAAAATATTAAATTTTTAATAAATTTTTTCTAATGATAAATTTTGTAAAAGTTTTTAATAAAATATATATATAATTTATTCATTAAGCAATCTCACAATAAGTCTTGAGATTTTATATGATTTTTCTTTTTTTTTTCTCTCTCCTTATTCTTCTTTCCTACCTTTTTCGCTTCTTTATCTATTTTGCTTTCCCACTTCTCTTCTCTGTGTCTTTTTTTCTTCTCCTGTTTATGTTCATTTATCTCTTTTTATTCTTTTATTATTTTCTATTTTTCTCTTATTTTTTAATTTATCAAAATTGATGTATTAATATTTTTTAATTCATTATAAGAAATATTACATATAGTGACATAAAAAAAGTGTCACTACAGATATATTTCTATTTGACATATAGTTACACACAATTTTAATGTTGATTTTGAATGAGATTTAACAATATATTTTATATGTTATTATAACCTATACTTACTTTTTAATAATATACCAACGTATATTATAGTTATTGTATGAATAAAAGTAATTTTTAGTGACATATATAATGTCACTATAGGGTATGTGTTACTATATGATAATTTTCATGTAGTGATTATTAAATATTTAATTAATATTTATTTTCAATAAAGTTAAATATTGAAAATTTAAATTTGTAAACATATAAGAAAAAATAATTTTGTAAAAATAAGTATTTAAAACTTACAAAATTTGAATCAAATTGTCCAATCAAAATAATTAAAATTTCAACTGTATCAACTTTCGAATTTTCTCATCTAAATATAACATAGGAAATTTTTTTAAGTAATTTATAAAATTAGTGTGCCCATCTTTCGAAAAGATAAAGATAAATCATCGTGTATGAATATTAGAATAAAAGCTTACTTATTTAAGTTATATGTGATATTAACTTGAATATAGTTAATATATATATATATATATATAACTTAAAAATTTAATAATTTTACATATAATTTGAAAGAAATATATATTTTTTTTTACCAAATAGCCCTAATACTTTTTCCTTTAATTTTTTATTAACACAAATTGATTTGACTGACCCCTTGATTGGGTCAAATAGACTCAAAATTTTTTGGGACTTAAAAATAAAAAGTCTAATTTAGCTCAATTTAGTGTGCCAACAAGTCAACTTATAGGTAGAGTTAATTTTGATAATTTGACTAGTTAATTAATATTATAAATTTAAATTTATTGTTCAAATTCAACTACATGAACAAAAAAAAAATCAATACATGAAAGATTATATGTAGAAAAATAAATTTAGGAGGATATAAAGTTTGAATTAATTGTTTATTGAAAGATTGAAAAATTGTATTAATTTTATTTTTCTTTATTTAAATCTTATCATTTATGTTATTTTTTATTAATTGTATTATTTTTTATAAAAAAAATATATTTCCTTTTGAAATCTCATAAGATCCTTTTAAATCATATAAATTCTTACAATATAAAAACATTAAAATTCATATTATAAATTCTTTATTATAAGAATTTATTAAAAAATATCTTAAAACTAATTGCATTTCTACAAAGTCTTTTAAAAATGTTTTAAAAGTCAATATTTTCACAAAGTTTTTTAAAATTCAATAGACATTTTCATGCTAAAATAGTCTTATGAAATATCATTCCAATACAACTCATCTAATCATAAAAACATATTGTACATCAATTTGAATCCATATAAAGAAGTATTGATACATATTTGACAAATATACAAATTGTCATAGGTAATAAAAAGGACATAAGTCTGTGAGGCCCCATACTCTTTTGTTTTCTCCTCCGAACCCTCACTCACTTTCTTTGTCTATCCACTCAAAACTCTCTTCTCCTCAATCTTTTTTGGCTGATCATTTTCACTTGGAATCAAGGTGCTGATACCAGTGCTGGACTCAGCTGAGCCGTACGGAGTTCTCTTCAAGCTCAATCCTCTTCTTCTTCATCATTCTCTTCATCCCGAAGCTCGGAACCGTTGAACCGAGGTAAGGGAAGTTAGCTTTCTTGCTGTGTTTTGGTTGAAATGGGGTTGAGAACTCATTGAGTTGTTAAGAGTGTTGGATTTGTTGGCTGATTTTGGGTGTAACATGGAGTTCTTGGGGTTGTTGGGAGTTATGAGGGAAATTGGGGATTTTCTCATTCTGTTGTTGCATGTGTAAAAAGGTAGCATTTTTGGACTATTGGATGGAAATGTGATAACTTGAACTGATTGCATGTGGAGTTTTCTGATTTTTTTTGCAAATTCTTGAAGAGTTTTCGAAAATATGAGGTTTGCTGCTGAACTCGCGTTGGGCGCAGTTCTTCCCGCCGGGCGCGTGGCCATTTGAAGGCAGCATTTAGGCAAACTCGCCGGGCGCAAAGATGTGTGCGCCGGGCGTGCTTGAAAATGTTAGCCTCTGGATGGCCCATGCCGGGTGAGGGTTGAACCGCGCTGGTCGCGATGTCAGTTGTGACTTGTTTTTGGGCTTCTGGCATGGCGCTGAGCGGGATTTTGGCCACGCTGGGCGCGGGGACTCCTTGGAGTCTCTGCCATGGGAGGCGCCAGGCGCAATTCAAATTGCGCTGGGCGCAAGACCAAGGGAGGTTTCTGCCTGGCATGCGCTGGGCGCAATTATTTATTGCGCCAAGCGCGTGAGCGCGTTGGGTTCTCTGGTTGAGTCCCGCCGGGCGCGGGTATGCTTGCACCGGGCGCGCTGGCCCCCTGGTGCTCTCTGGTTGTACTGCGCTGGGCGCAACCATGAGTACGCCGGGCGCATAGCTGATAATTCCTTATATGTTGTATCATGTTGTTTTATGCTGAGTTGAATTGAGAGGGATGAATATGATGTGATGACTAGTAGATAATGCTGTTGCTGATGTTGAGTTGTATCAGTTGTATATGTTGAGCTTAGGAGAGCTGAAAAAGAGTTTTGATGATCACAACAGCCGGAGACAACAAGTGTGCAACAACAACATTGAACACAAAAACAAAGTCAAGAAAGTTCAAGAAAAATGTTGAAGGGGAATATAAAAGATTTTTGACGATACTTTTAAAATTAGTTGTTTAAGAACCAATTTTGTATACTACATACAAAATCGGTTCTGAAATAACCGATTTTAAAAGTAGCACTTTTAAGATCAGTCATAAAATAACCGATCTTAAAAGTACTTTTAAGATCGGTTATTTTATGACCGATCTTAAAAGTGTTTAAAAGTGCCACTTTTAAGATCGGTTCTTTTGTAACCGATCTTAAAAGTTGTGTCAGACATACCTTTTAAGATCGGTCATAAAATAACCGATCTTAAAAGTATTTATATTATTTACAAAATTGCCACCGCGTCACTTTTAAGATCGGTTACCTTATAACTGATCTTAAAACTCCGATTTTAAATCCAATTTTTACATTAGTATTTGTAACATAAGTGTGCTAAATAAGTTTATTTGAATTACATTGTGGATGAAAATTTAAAAATGAATGTTCCAAATTTGAATTTTAATGAAGTTATTTATCCCACCTATAGCAATGGACTTTATCATCAAACACCTAAATCAAGACTTTCAAACAAGTTATCATCAAAGTATTCCCATGTTTGATGTAATTTTCATGCTTAAAAGAAGAGGAAGATGGTTGGAGAACCTTAAAGAATCTCATTTAAAAGAATTCAAATTTGTCATGATCTTAATAATTATATAAAAAAATCAAATACAAAAATCATCTTATCATATATGAATAAAAAAAATGTTCAAATAAAAGAAAGATAATAAACAAGCAAAAAAAAAAACAACAAAGAAATGAAATTGAAAAAGGATATATTTCATTTTGGTTTCATATTATTTTCATTTAAAATTAAAATAATGAACCCTACCAACTCTTATTTTAATCATATTACAGTTTGTTTGACAATGATAAAACAAATATTAACTTCTATTTTCATTTTATATTAATATCTTTATATATATTTTTTTAATTTCTTACATATTATCCTTTTCAAAATCAATGTTTAAGATAAAAATATAATATACACATAATTTATCGCAATGGTTCATACAAGTTAATTGTAATTATTATTAGATTATTTTACGTGATATTAATATGGTTTAGACGTATGATTTAGTTTTTTTAATGTAACTTCCAAAGAAAAAAAATCTTATATTAGTTTTTTAACTATTCATATATATATATATATATATATAATGTTAGGAGAGGGCTTAAACTTAAGTTGAATTCATTATTGTCTTCAATCTTGTAGTAAAAACAGTCGCATCTAAAGGTTATGTTTAGAGCGTCCCTACGAAGATGACATCAACTTGTAATTAAGGAGTTGGCTATTCATATATAATAATGTGTGACTTGCTATCATTTTCAACTATGTATCGTATTTCGTCTAATACAACATCGGTAACAGTAATGTAAAGCTTTTATTTAAAATGACAAGTCCTTATTGATTCAGTGGAATTTATGACAAGCGATTTCCTGCTTATCTGTATCTTAGTTCGTGGAAGCCGGTGTGTAGGTCCCTGCAGTTAAAGCCCATATAATAGTTAAAATCTTCCTATATGTGGTTTCTTTTTATGCTAGCTTACCCTCTTATTGTTTCCATGTGGTTGGACTGCAATGATCATACTGTGTATGGGAGCAGAGCAGGGATAGGTGGTGTATCTGTAGCTGGCAGGTGGAGCTGACTCCTTTTGGTGCTTTGTTTGTTTCAGCCACTTGGCATAGTGGCTTTGGATGTATTTTTGTGGTGTACACCCTAACTCTAGTCGGATTGGGACCTTTGTATATATTTATATTCTAGATCCTATATTTATATACTCGTTCTATTCTGTCTAGTGTTTCCAGTGCGCTGTGGTCGTGAGTGTAGTGGCCAGCCAAGTCGTTACACTTTAGTGGTATCAGAGCAGGTCGAGTCTAGTGGACACTCTTTGGGGGTGGTTCCTTTAGGCTTTTGTTGTGTTAACTCTGTGTTGTGCTGTCTTGTTGTGTCGTTTGTTGTGCTGATTGATGTGATGAATTGTTGTGTTATTAATTGTTGTTGGGTTAAGTGATAGTATACTGAAGATGTTGTTATTTTTTATAGACGATGACTAGAACCAACGAACAGATAGCCCGTGCCATAGAGATGATGGCTATGGCTATGCAGCAGCAAAATGCTTTTTTTGCTAGGATGAAAGCTGAAAGAGCTGTAGCTGGTGCAGCGAGGCCCACGGGATCATAGGAGAGCCGGGACCTAGCTGAGTTCCGGAAGTGTCATCCTCCACAGTTTACGGGAGATGCAGATCCAGAGGTAGCTGACCGCTGGATATGTGAGTTAGAGAAGATTTTTGCCGTTCTGGGATGTTCCCCAGAGAAGAGGTTGGCATATGCAGTGTATATGCTTGTGGAAGAGGTCGAGCATTGGTGGAGGGGCGCATATCAGATGCTTGTGGCGAGAGGAGTTACAGTTGATTGGGATTGCTTTCGGATGGTGTTCATGGAGAAGTATTTCCCGGAGAGCGTGAGGCACGCCATGGAGGTTGTGTTCATGCGGATACACCAGGAAGGCCTATCTGAATCGGAGTATGCGATGAGGTTCGAGCACTTGGCTCATTTTTATTCACAGGCTATTTCTGAGGCCTGGAAGTGCAAAAAGTTTGCCGAGGGTCTGAAGTATGAGTTGAAGAAGGTGGTGGTGCTTATGGCCATCACCGAGTTTCCAATCTTAGTAGAGAAGGCAAAGATTGTGGAGAGGTTAGAAGGGGGTAACCGTGTGATCAGAGCTGCTGAGGGACCAGCTGGGTCCAAGAGAGGAAGTGAAAGTCAGAGGAAGCCGTATGATAGGCCCCAGCCCAGCAAGGGGGTCCTGTCATTAGGCAACCTGCTGAGACTACCAGAGGAGGAGGACAGGGTGGAGGTGCTGCCCTTAGGTGTTACAGGTGTGGTGGATCCCATTTGATCAGGGATTGTCCACACACTGAGAGTAGATGTTTCAGATGTCAGCAGATGGGCCATGTGTCTTTTAACTGTCCCACCAGGAGTAGACCGGAGAGGAGTACTCAGAGGAGTGATGCGCATAGAGCTGATACCCAGAGGAGTAGTGTGCAGAGGACTGAGACTCAGAGGGGTGACAGACCCACTACAGCTGGTAGGGTATTCGCTTTGACGGGTGCTGAGGCTTCGACTTCTTCTGACCTAATGAAAGGGAAGGGCAAGGCTGCTGGTAAGGATGTGATGCTTTTGTTTGATTCTGGGGCTTCCCATTCTTTTATTTCCTATGCCTGTGTTGCTATGTTGGGAGTGTTTGTGTGTGATTTGGGGTTGAGACTGCTAGTGTCGACGCCCGCTTCTGCTTTAGTAGTCGCTTCTGAACTGTGTGTTGGCTGCCCTATTGTTGTGAATGAGAAGAAGTACAAGGTAAACTTGATTTGTTTGCCTTTGGTTGATATTGACATAATCTTAGGGATGAATTGGTTATCTGCCAATCGTATCCTTATAGATTGTGCCAATAGACGGTTGATCTTTCCACAGGAGGAAGATGAGTTATTGATTTCAGCTAGCCAAGCTGAATCATGGTTGAGGGATGGAGCAGAGTGTTATCTTCTACTTGCTATGATGAGTGTGGAGATTGAGAGGGTCATTTCTGAGATAGATGTGGTGAGAGACTTTGCTGAAGTGTTCCCTGATGAGATGCCTGGGTTGCCTCCTGTTAGGGAGATGAAGTTTAGCATTGATCTGGTTCCAAGTGCGGGCCCAGTGTCGGTGGCTCCCTATACCATGGCGCCTGCCGAGCTGATTGAGTTGAAGGGTCAGTTGGAGGACCTATTGGAGAAGCAATTGGTGCGGCCGAGCGTTTCGTCGTGGGGTGCTCCTGTGCTATTGGTGAAGAAGAAGGATGGGGGTAGTCGACTTTGTGTGGATTACCGGCAGTTGAATAAGTTGACCATTAAGAACAAATTTCCTCTTCCCCGGATAGATGACTTGATGGATCAGTTGAGGGGAGCATCAGTGTTTTCTAAGATCGATTTGAGGTCGGGCTATCACCAGATGAGGGTGAAGGAGGGTGACATACCGAAGACTGTTTTCAGGACTAGGTATGGTCACTATGAGTATGTCGTGATGCCGTTTGGTGTGACCAATGCCCCTGCAGTGTTCATGGATTACATGAACAGGATCTTCCGGCCGTTCTTGGATAAATTCGTGGTGGTGTTCATTGATGATTGTAGACACCCAATTTCGTCCGGGGACACACAAACAAGGAAATGGACCTCTGTTGTGAAGGAAAGGAGCTCCCGAAGCATGGAAACAACAAGAGATGACAGCCCAGAACGGGCTGTTCCAAGACCAGAACGAGCTGTTCCCAAAAACGGAACGGGCCGTTCCAAAACAAGTTGATATATGCAAGATTTGAACCCAAAACGGGTCGTTCCGCTTTTGGAACGGGCCGTTCCAGGTTCTTATTTTACCTATAATAAACTTGCCCAGAACGGGACGTTCTAAAACTGGAACGGGTCGTTCCCCTGGTTTGGAACGGGCCGTTCCACATTTAGAACGGGACGTTCCAGTGTCTTATTTTACCCATAACGGATTAGCCCAGAACGGGCCGTTCCGAATCTGGAACGGGCCGTTCTGGTCCCCTTCTGATTCCTATAAATAGGAGCCTTGGGCACAGTTTTCCGGGCGGCCAAAGAAATTTCGAATAAGACTCCTTTGAGCACGAAAATTCTCTATCTCTCTCCCTTCTATTATATTTTTTGAGATTTGTGTCGCATCTCTATATTCTCTCTCCCTCCTATTGTATTTCTTGAGATTTGTGAGGCATACTGTAGTGTGAAAGGTCGCCACAAAGCACCTTTTCCATATTTGAAGATTCAATAAAGCTTGTTCAAGAGGTATTTCAGCTAATCTTATTCTCTTCCTTTTATTTCTTATCTTTATCTCTTTTTTTGTTATAATAAACGTCATAATGTAGATATTTTAGGGTTAATCGCTTAATTTATATTTTAAGCATGATTTATATTTTAAGCATATAAATAAATATTAATAAAAGGGATTCAATATTTAATTTATTAATTCTTATAATGTTAACTTCATCATAGGGTACCAATTGAGGGCGTTGTAGGGGTGCTTAATACCTTCCCTACATGTAACCGACCCCCGAACCCAATTCTGGTTATCAAGGCCATAGTTGGATTTTCAAAAAAACCTTTACTTTTTCCAATGTTTTGAGTAAAATATTGGTGGCGACTCCATGAACCTATTTTCAAAAACCATTAATTAAGGAGTAGTCTGGTGTCCGGGCATTCCTTAATTAATGAGACTTTTAAAAGGATGTCTAAACCATACGTCGCAAGATCGGAAATTTTTGGGTTGCGACAATGATATCTTGATTTATTCAAGAACCCGGGAAGAGCATGGAGAGCACTTGAAGATGGTGCTGGAGATTTTTGAAGGCGAAGCAGCTATATGCTAAACTTTCAAAATGTGAGTTCTGGTTGGATGAAGTGAAGTTCTTGGGCCACGTGATTTCAGCTGAGGGGATTGCTGTTGATCCGGCTAAGGTGGAGTCGGTGTTGCAGTGGGAGCGTCCGAGGACTGTCACTGATATTCGAAGCTTTGTGGGTTTGGCGGGCTACTGTTGTCGGTTCATTGAAGGATTCTCTAAGATAGTAGCACCTCTGACCCAGCTGACGAGGAAGGAGCAGCCATTCATTTGGACAGATGCCTGCGAGCGGAGTTTTCAGGAGTTGAAGAGAAGGTTGACTACTTCTCCTGTGTTGGTGTTGCCGGATTCTGGTGAGCCCTTTGATGTGTATTGTGATGCTTCTCACCAGGGTTTTGGGTGTGTGCTGATGCAACACGGGAAAGTGGTGGCCTATGCTTCAAGGCAACTGAAGAACCATGAGAGGAATCACTACAAGAAAACTTGTCTTTAGAGACAAAATTTTTAGTCTCTAAATTAATAAAATTAGTTACTAAATCAATAAGTGACTAAATTAGATACCAACTATAGAAAGTAGCTAAATCACTAGTTGCTAATTTTAGCTACTAATCTAAAGTCTGATTTAAAAACTAATTTAATGACTAATTTTTTTATGACCAATTTTGCGACTAATTTTATAATGACCAACTTAGTAACTTATTCTATAATGACCAATTTATTGACCAATTTTTAATGACCATCTCATTGACCAATTTTATAGCAACTATTTTAACTACCAATATTATACAATATTATAGTAACCAATTTAGATACCAATTTTGATAACAACTAATTTAGTAACCTATTTTATAATGACTAACTTAGCAACTTATTTTGTAATAATCAACTTAGTGACTGATATAATAACTAATTCTAAAGTAACCATTTTAGTGACCAAATTTTAAAATAATTGAATTAGTGACCCATTTTTCAATGACTCAAAGTGACTGATATAATATTAAAAAAAAAGTAGTCGCTAAAATTTTTCCTTATTCATCTTTCTTATTTATGCCATTTTCTTTCATATTTATTATCTTCTTTATTCAAATTCACCACATACCTAACTTCAATTATTTTTCTACTAAAACATAATAATTATTTAAGTATAATATTAATTATTTATTTACTTCACATATTTATTCTATGTTAAACTATTATGCAAAAAGTCATCATACACTATATAATAACATGAAAATTAAGTAATTAAATTTTTTAATTTTTTAAAACTACACATAATATCCACCAAACATACAATCCTCACTATCTATTTGAGAATGCGATGTTTAAGACGATAACCATCTAGCATTCGAACAACAATAGTAATTGTTTCATTACATAAAGATGGTTCCTTAGAAAGCCTAACTTCTTTCTTGTCAAGCATTTTCCCCATTTCCTGCAATCATGAGGCACACAAAATTCAGTACAAGAATTTGAATAGTCATACAGCAATAAGAGTCATGCACCCACACAATGGACACAACAAGCTTCCCTGTTTCTTCATTAAATTCATAGTTTGTGGCGTCACGAGGAAATATTCCTATGGGTAGATCGAATTCCTTTAGCAACTCCGTTAATGGCTTTTGCATCTTCCCTGTGAAGCAATTGTTTAGAGTTAGAGAGTAATAGTAATAAAAAAGGGGGGAGTGACTGTGATTGAGGGGTATCTTATTTATTTTGATTTGATTTGCTAATGGGAGGTGTGAGATGAGAATAACTGGGGAAAGCAATGGGTGGAGAAGAATGCATAAATCATCTTTGAGAGGACATAGCAGATTTCTAAGATTCATAAAAGTGAGATGCTAGTAAATTCAATGTGTAATTTGTATGTACTAAAGATCAAATATAAATATCCTACTTCCACTTGCATTGCCTAAGGAATGATCAAATATTAAAATTCAAAAGATTTATTGTACAAGATCACTTGGTCATGACGATGCATACCTTACAATGCATGTTTTTACATTAATTCTATTTCAGATTTCAGAATGTTATATAAAGTCTTCTCAGTGTATCCAATTGTTCTTCAGAAAAGAACTGCAAATATATATTTTCCTATTTACAAGACTTCCCCCTGCCTGCACCCTCAACTAATATATGTAAAGTTATAAACACAGTTGACAGTGATTCATATCTCAAAATACTAAATTTCCAAATGTTAGTCCAATCCACTCATCATGGAGGATTAGATCTCTTAAATTCTGGTCAAATGAAAATCAATTACATATAAGATTGGTTCAAATATGTATTAATGGCCTTGGCTATAATGCAAGGATTTTGAAATTTCAACACACTTATTTATTAGGGATTGATTTAAATTAAAAGAAACCCCCGACTACAGCACATATTTCATAGCGTATATTTGTACAAATGTTTGAGCAATACATATAAATATTGTAGATACAAACCTTTTAATTTGTTGACCAGCCATTTGGTTCCCCCTTCAATACTAGTTGACAGTGACTAATCAACAATGGCAAAGTTGTTAATATAAACATAAGCAATGAAATGTCTTCTCAACATTTGTTGTAATCTATCGAAAACATTACAACCCCAAGATGCACAAATGAATAAAGTGATTTATTTCATTAGCATGAGCATAAATCATTCTTGAGCATTGCAGTAAAGAGAAATGAACACCAGACAACACCAAAACTAACTTGTAAGCATGAATTGAGATAATTACATACTTTCTGTTAACAGTAACATATTGAATCATGAAATGATCAAAGTAACTCTAATATTTATAAAAAGGCCAAGTAAAATGCATAATAAATGAAATTACGCGTTGATAAAGTAACCAGCATCTGAGAGGCATTTCACTCTAGCCCCTGTAGGTAATAAAGCTCGGAATCGATCATAATGTAGTACTGAAGTTAATCCTCCAGCTGAACATCCAGAGATAATAGCATGTGGTTACAAGTTCTGGTGAGTGAAGGAAAAAACAATAAAAACAGTGGCACATCATCAATGTCTCTTACATTTTGAGCATTTTTCATTCCTTTTGCTAGTAAATCCTCCATGACAGCAGCGAAAATCCTTGCTCCTCTGAAGTGCATCTTCCTTACCTGATTTACACATCAAAATATTAAAGTTTAATCAGAAAGACTAATGAGTAATACTAATAACAAATATTTTAAATTTAGATTTCGAAATTCCTATGAACTTTGCTAAACTTACTGGATTCAACTCCTATCCCTTAATCTTCTTCGTCCCAGAAAGTGAGGCTTATGGAGGACGCTTGCGTGGCGTTCTTCTTGCCGGAGAGGCGGGTCCACGCCACCACCTTGCCGGAGGGGAGGTGTTTGAGTTCGACAGCCGCGGCCACCACACCGATGAGGCTGACAGAGTTGCAGAGCTCCTTCTTCCACAGAATCTCCGAGGGTTTGGGGTATGTCGTTGTCATCGAGCACTTCAATTTCACGTTCCCTTTAATGAACACTCCACTCAACTCCACTCACCACCCAACAACGGCCTCCATCAAAAAACCTGTCTTCATGAACACTCCACACGTGGATAAGAAAAAATCGTGGAGGCTCTTCGTCTCCACACGTAAATGTTTCATTTTTTTTATTTTTTTTTTTAAATTTACTTTTATTAATTATTATTAAGTAGTTCTTAAAATCTATTTCTTGCGTGGCATATATTTGATACTTTAAGTGTTTCTAATTTAAATATTATATACATAATATTAATATTTTAATTTTTATTAATTTTAATTATATACTTAAATAATTTCTAAAATAACTTAACAGTAATTACAAAAGTAATCTTTATTATTTCTAAAATAAATTAGTATTAATTAAAAGAATCAGTTCTATATTATATTTCTATCATAGATCGATATATTGGTATCTAATATAGCATAATTAGATACTAAAAAAGTATTTAAAATGAGTTAATAGTGACTAAAAAATTAATTATTATTTACTTGTGTATTTTAATTAGAGATCAAATATTTTTGTGTCAAATAATTTAACGGTGACTAAAATATTAGTTTCTTGTTATATTTTTATTAGAGACTAATACATTAGTTTCTAATATAGAACAATTAGATACTAAAAAATATGGTATCTAAATTAAGTTAATGGTGACCAAAATAGTCCCTCTCTAGTAATATTTAAATTAGAAACTGGGAAATTTAGTCTCTAATTTTAGTGCATCTTGAGACTAAAATATTGGTTTTTAAAGTGTTTTAATAGTGACAAAAAATTTTGTCTCAAATAATATTTTAATTAAAGACTAAAAAAGTTGTATCTAATTAAATAAATAATATTTTTTAAACTATTAGTTACTAAAAATTTAGTCTCTAAATACATTAACAATATTAATGACAATAGAGATTAAATTAGGGACCAACTATAATCAATTTGGTCTCTAAATAAGTCTTTATTTAATGAATTTCTTGTAGTGAATTATCCCACTCATGACTTGGAGTTGGCAGCTGTTGTTTTTGCCTTGAAGATATGGCGACACTATTTGTATGGTGCTCGGTTCAGCGTCTTTAGTCATCATAAGAGTCTGAAGTATCTGTTTGATCAGAAGGAGCCCAACATGAGGCAGAGACGGTGGATAGAGTTTCTGAAGGACTATGATTTCTAGTTGATGTATCATCCTGGTAAAGTCAATGTTGTGGCAGACGCACTGAGTAGGAAATCCATCCATAGGTCGAGTATGATGGTGAGGGAGTTGGAACTGATTGAGAAATTCAGAGACTTGAACCTCAGTGTGGGGTTAGCTCAGGATCACATTATTGGTGTTACAGTCACCATAACTAATTATTTCTTGATGCAGGTTGGACTTAAGCAGTTGCAAGATGTTGAGTTGGTGAAGCTTCTTGGTTTGCTGGGTACCGAGAAAGCTGTTGGTTTCGAATTGGGAGAAGATGGAATCTTGAGGTTCATGGGCAGAGTCTGCCTACCACAGGATGTTGAGCTGAAGAAAGCTGTGATGGAGGAAGGCCACAAGAGTAGACTTAGCATACATCCGGGTATGACTAAGATGTACCAAGACCTCATGAAGACTTTATGGTGGCCGGGCATGAAGAGGGAGATAGCTGAGTATGTGGCGGCCTGTCTGACTTGTCAGAAGGCAAAGGTGGAGCACCAGAAGCCGAGTGGGTTGATGCAGCAGATTGAGATTCCAGAGTGGAAGTGGGATAACATTACTATGGATTTCATTGTGGGGTTGCCTAGGTCAGCTAGGAATAGTGATGTTATCTCGGTAGTTGTTGATTGGTTGACCAAGTGTGCACATTTCTTGCCTGTCAACATCAAGTGGTCCTTGGAGAAGCTGACACAGTTGTATGTGAGGGAGATAGTACGTCTGCATGGGGTACCTTCCAGTATTATTTCTGATAGAGATCCAAGGTTCACTTCCAGATTTTGGCAGAGTCTACACCAAGCCTTAGGCACGAAGTTGAAGTTGAGCTCTGCTTATCATCCACAGACGGATGGTCAGTCAGAAAGGACAATCCAATCCTTGGAAGATCTGCTTAGGGCTTGTGTGTTAGACCACTTGGGTAACTAGGAGGAGGTTCTACTGTTGGTTGAGTTCACCTACAACAACAATTTTCATGCTAGCATTGGGATGACACTATTTGAAGCGTTGTATCGCAGAAAATGTAGGACTCCTCTGTGCTGGTATCAGGATGGTGAGTCAGTGGTGGTAGGTCCGGAGCTAATCTTACACACCACGAAGAAAGTGAACATGATTTAGGAAAGGATGAAGACTGCTCAGAGCAGGCAGCTGTTGTATGCTGACAAGAGGCGGAAGCCTTTGGAGTTTGCCGAAGGAGAGCATGTGTTTCTGAAGGTGACTCCGACTTGTGGTGTGGGTAGAGCACTGAAGGCAAGGAAGTTGACACCGAGGTTCGTGGGTCCCTATCAGATCATGCAGCGTGTGGGTCCGGTTGCTTATCAGTTGGCCTTGCCACTGTCTCTTTCAAACCTGCACGATGTGTTTCATGTCTCCCAGCTGAGGAAGTACGTTTATGACCCGAGTCATGTGGTGGAGCTAGATGATGTGCAGGTGAAGGAGAACCTGACTTTTGAGAAGTTGCCGGTAACTGTAACTGATCGAAAACTAAAGGAGCTGAGGGGCAAGTCTATTGCTCTGGTAAAAGTATTGTGGGATGCAGCTACTGGTGAGGCTACTTGGGAGGTGGAGCAGTAGTTCAGGGAGTGTTACCCGTCTCTTTTCCCAAGTAAGTCTATTTTCGGGGACGAAAACTTTTGTTGTTGGGGAGGTTGTGAGGCCCCATACTCTTTTGTTTTCCCCTCCGAACCCTCACTCACTTTCTTTGTCTATCCACTCAAAACTCTATTCTCCTCAATCTTCTTTGGCTGATCATTTTCACTTGGAATCAAGGTACTAATACCAGTGCTAGACTCAGCTGAGCCGTACGGAGTTCTCTTCAAGCTCATTCCTCTTCTTCTTCATCATTCTCTTCCTCCCGAAGCTCGGAACCGTTGAACCGAGGTAAGGGAAGTTAGCTTTCTTGCTGTGTTTTGGTTGAAATGGGGTTGAGAACTCATTAAGTTGTTAAGAGTGTTGGATTTGTTGGCTGATTTGGGTGTAACATGGAGTTTTTGGGGTTGTTGGGAGTTATGAGGGAAATTGGGGATTTTCTCTTTCTGTTGTTGCATGTGTAAAAAGGTAGCATTTTTGGACTATTGGATGGAAATGTGATAATTTGAACCGATTGCATGTGGAGTTTTCTGATTTTTTTTACAGATTCTTGAAGAGATTTCGAAAATATGAGGTTTGCTGCTGAACTCGCGCTGGGCGCAGTTCTTCGCGCCGGGCGCGTGGCCATTTGAAGGCAGCATTTAGGCAAACTCGTCGGGCGCAAAGATGTGTGCGCCGGGTGTGCCTGAAAATGTTAGCCTCTAGATGGCCCACGCCGGGCGAGGGTTGAACCGCGCTGGGCACGATGTCAGTTGTGACTTGTTTTTGGGCTTCTGGCATGGCACTGAGCGGGATTTTGGACGCGTTGGGCGCGGGGACTCCTCGGAGTCTCTGCCATGGGAGGCGCCAAGCGCAATTCAAATTGCGTTGGGCGCAAGACCAAAGGAGGTTTCTGCCTGGCATGTGCTGGGCGCAATTATTTATTGCGCCAAGCACGTGAGAGCTTTGGGTTCTCTGGTTGAGTCCCGCCGGGCGCGGGTATGCTTGCGCCGGGCGTGCTGGCCCCCTGGTGCTCTCTGGTTGTACTGCGCTGGGCGCAACCATGAGTGTGTCGGGCGCATAGCTGATAATTCCTTATATGCTGTATCATGTTGTTTTATGCTGAGTTGAATTGAGAGGGATGAATATGATGTGATGACTAGTAGATAATGTTGTTGCTGATGTTGAGTTGTATCAGTTGTATATTGTTGAAAGTTGTGTTGAGTTGTATGTTGATATTTGATGTTGTAGGCCGCAAGGCTGAGTTGTTGTAGGTCGTAAGGCTGAGTTGTTGTAGGCCGAAAGGCTGAGTTGTTGTAGGAGATCTCCGAGTTGATGTGCGTGACGACGCATTGTATGCTTATGGATGATTATGCTGTAAGAATTGACGGGATGCATATTGATGAAGTGTTGATAATTGTAGTTGTTCTTATTACTCAAATCTTCCTATATGTGGTTTCTTTTTATGCTAGCTTACCCTTTTGTTGTTTCCATGTGGTTGGACTGCAATGATCATATTGTGTATGGGAGCAGAGCAGGGATAGGTGGTGTATCTGTAGCTGGCAGGTGGAGCTGACTCCTTTTGATGCTTTGTTTGTTTCAGCCACTTGGCATAGTGGCTTTGGATGTATTTTTGTGTTGTACACCCTAACTCTAGTCGGATTGGGACCTTTGTATATATTTATATTCTAGATCCTATATTTATATACTTGTTCTATTCTGTCTAGTATTTCCAGTGCGCTGTGGTCGTGAGTGTAGTGGCCAGTCGGGTCGTTACAAAGTCCAAGTATCAACTCCACATGAACTTAAGTTTTATAGTTGTTTAAACAATTGTTAATAAAAAAAATTTAAATTGTTAAAAATCAAATACAAAAATTCATAGAAAAATATGTAACAAAGAAAATAAGAATTTGAATTTATATAATGATAATAGCAGTCAAATATTGATTTCATTAAGCTTTCATATGTAAATCCTTTCTAATTTTCATTCAACATTGTAATTATACAATTAATTTGACAGTTCACAATTATATTTAAGCCTTAATTTTTTAAGTGATAAATTTTATGTTGTTTGAGAGAAATTTCAATTCCTTGATAATTTTTGTTAAACAATCCTACATAGTTAAGGACCAAAAGTCGACTGATAAGGTTTATTATAATTTCTCGATAAAAAAACGTTATCAGATTTTTACTTAAATCGTGATTCAAAATGAACTTCCCAACCTCAATTAAAATTATAAAATCATGCATTGACCAAAGCATACATTAAGAACAAAGTAAAAGCGATTATCTACATAAAACAATATATTGAATGAGAATAGAAAATATTACACAAGTACAAAAACTATATCAAACTCCAATAGTAGAGAACTTAGTCATTTATAACTAAGGATTACAAAATAAAAGAAGAGCCTTTGAGTGGTCTATAATTACAGTTGTGTTTGTAAAAGTAAGAATGGATATAGAGGCCTCCTAGAGATTTTATTTTTATAATATTTTTTAATGGGCTTTTAGGTTATATATGCTAACTAAAAGCGCTCATGTGCCTCGCTCTGAGTGAGCATATTCATGATCTAATGATGTTCTTTGTTGTTGCTCATTTTAAGCGATGATTTGGTTGTTTTAAATGAATTTTGCTGGCTTAGATCGGTCTTTTATGTGGCTCGAAGCTATGATTCTCCTTTGAAATTTGAAGCTTTCAAAATATTTCTCCCTGTGTTACATCTCAACAAAGAAAAACATTAAAAATACCTAATATTTAAAAAATTAAATCCTATAATTGAAATTAGCTATTGACTAAGTACTTTGTGATTAAAAATGAGATTTATAAGCATAAAATATACTAATGATTACCTAAATTGAATAAAATATGTATGCATATTTGGAAATTATCAAGTATTAAACAATTTTTTATATTTTTTTTAAGTTATATACATGATTTATTCATTAAGAACTTATAATTCGATGGTTGGATTATTAAAATTCATTATAGACTATGAGTTATTAAGTAAAATAACTCCATCAAGAGTTACTCTTAGAGTAAGTAAATCCTTCCCCACATGGGTTATGCAATATCCATGACCAAATAATTAGGATTTTGCTTAGGGGTGTCGACAATGTGATTTGATTTTTGATTGAAAAGTCACTCGAACCAAATAAGAAAATTAGTATAGTATGATTTGAGTCAGTTTAAATGTAATATCAAATTTAAGTCAAACTAAATCAATTTTTTATAATTTGATTTTTTTATTTTAAAATATGTTATTAAGTATTAAAAATATGTTATTAAAAAAATCAAAATATTTATCAATTCAATGTAATGTTTTCACTATTTAGAGCATTGCTAAAAATTTTGTCGGTAAAGTCATTAATAATCAATATTAAAATTTGTTTTTCACGCATCAAATTTCATAAATGGATAATTGCAATTTACATAAAATAATTAAAATAGTTAATGAACTTAAAAGTAAAATAACCATTAAACTTAAGGTAAAAAATAATAAATGAAATTAAAGTAAAATAGTCATATATTGTCATACAATACATATTACTTATTGTTGGCCAATAAACTTAAAGTGAAATAGTGATTAAAAAAGATGAATGATCTACTTACTTTTACTTATACTTACTACACTTAATATAGACGGTTTTGATGAAAAACTTGTGAAAAAGGTTGATCTTCCTAATGAGGATGGTACGACGGAATTGTCAAATGAGTGGGAGGATGTCTTCATGGCCTCTACCATCTTAGGCTGGGAATTTCATCATTAGGTAAGGTGTAGATACTTTAACACATAGGATGTTGAGGGTAGATCCTCCAACTATGACATTGTATGAGGTGGTTGTGTTTACTAACAAATATTTCATGTTTAGTGATTTGACGTGTTTATTACTTTCGAACTTAGTCGAGGGTTCCACGAAGCCTCTTTTGTTGATTGCTTGGTTTGTGAATCCTAGTAGGGGTGTTGTTGTATGACTTGATGTTGTCTTCGGGCAATTACATCCAAAGGAAAGTGTTCCAATATAAGATGTCGGTCAAGCTACCTTAATTTACGAGGGTTTTTTGTACTTCCCAATTGGAGATTTGAACTAAGATGATCGTGGTATCGTTGTGATTTGGATGCATGGCCAGGAAATCGTTGTCAATAAAAGTATTGAGAGGTAGTGATCTAGGTGACTTACCCTATGTTGTGGTGGTACTGTGGTGGCAACTTACCGTCGTACATGTTATTGCTAGCAGCAATTCTACCAACTCATTATGCATTAGCATATTAACCATCTCCTAAAGGGAGTTTTAGGAATGGTATTGTCGCCAACATCGGTTATCCTCTTTTTTCATATGTACGATGGTTGTTCGGCGTTATATGGCAAGATGGGTGGAGTTGTAACAATTTGAGGTCATCTTTTACAATCGTGTCAAGGTTGTTGATTGTCATGGAGATCCTTAGTGCATCACTATCCATAATGTGATTCTAGTGAGAGATTGTGTGTGATTGGGGGATTGTTTCACTCTAGACCCTATAATGGGGCCAAATGTTCTTACCAAAATTTGTAAGTGCTCTAATGATGAGGTTGTCGTCTTGATTACTCCAATATTTGTGCTAGTGGTAGACATCTACAAAGATACTCTGATGCTCAAGTTAGAGGGATGTCTAGGTTAAAAATGAAATTGTGATAGAATGATACTTGATGTCTATATATGTGTGATTGATCTTATCTTTAGGTTTTTGATAATGTTGTATGATATCTTGGAAATATTGTTATTGATTGGAGGAGATAGTGCTTTTGATAAGTGAAGATATTATGGTAGGTGCTTGATTACCATTTTTTAGAAAATATTCATGTCAAGATATCCTATTAATCGCATGAGATTTTACTTTATGATGAGGCATTGGAGTAATCTCACAATATTATTAATACATATTTATAATTATATATAATTACATTTATTTATTTATAATTATTTATAAATAAAATTAAGCATGTATTTATGTATATAATTAAGCACAAATTCAAAGAAAGCATGCATATAATATTATTTATGCTATATACAATGTTCACTATAGTGACAAGACCTGGATTGGGTATAAATTGTTGGTGAAACACTGAAACAAGTGACAATGAAAGGAGGCAGGGCAGGTATTGCATTTAAAGGGAATGAAGAGTGCTTCAAAGTTCCAACCTCCACCATGGAACCAAAGACCTACCAGACCTTCAAGTTGGTGGAACCAGTTAATTCATCTTTCCTTTTAGAATCTCCTCAACTTACTTTTCATAAAGGTAAAAGATACCAACATCAATACTCCATCTCATGCATTTAATCATCTCTGTCTTAACGAATTGCTTACAAGTCTTTCCTAATGCCATGTGGTCCCGTCATAGGAAAAAAACAAAAGTTTTATCTTCAATCGTTTTTTCCAGAAAATATTATAAGATCACGAAATTAATGCATGTATTCTTAGATGTAGATTAAATTTATTTTTAAATGTTGGCTAAACCTTGATTTTAGAGTGCTTATGGGTTGATGAACACTCCTACTTAGTCTTGAGGTATTTTTAATAAAATTTCTCTAATAATCATATCTTATGATTTTTCGACTCGCATCTAGAGCAACAATACTTCTGTATATTGAAAGTGTTTATATATATACATTGATTCAAGATATTTGCTTTTACAGACAGCATAGTAAACAAAACGATATTTGGCTTTACTATGAATAGATGATGGAATCAATCGATAACAATAGCAAGAGAAAAAAAAAACAGCTAGACACGTGTTGTCGTTCTAGAATTAAATACGAGGTTATGGAATGTGAGATCAAATTTTATGCGTGTTGCGTAAACAGAAGACATGATCCTAAAGCTATGGGAGCATTGATGAAACTAATTCATGAAATCACAATTAAATATGTCAGAAAAATGGGTACCCCGTTGTTTTATTTTCAATGAAATTCTAATTGTGACACTTACGCGCCACATGATTAGTCTCAAGGTTCCTCTACTACTACTGGTTATTGACAAAAGAAAAAAAAAAGTTTATCTAGAAAACTTGGGTCAGACAAAACAAATAAATAAAATCGTATGGGCAAAGGATCCAAGATGCGATCTCCAAGACCAAAAGAGAAACCATGGTCAAGTGCACATATAGACAAATTATACCAAATTTCCATGGATTTCAAGTCAATTTAATTTATTTGTTTGTGAGCTCTACTCTAAAATTCTGAATTGAATAATTTTAGATTCGATTTTTATGTGTATTAAAATAATATTTGATTAGCAAAAATTATATTTTATAAATATAGATTTTAAAAATATTATTATATTATTCTATTTAATTAAAATTTGGAGAAAATTTAAAAATCCACATTAATTGATTAACTCTCATGACAGACTCAGCCTCCAAACGATAGGCAAACTTATAGGTCGTATTTTTGCCCTAAATATATAGAACTACACACATTGAGGAATAATCCATAAAAGCAACAAGTGAAAAATAAAAATTAAAGCTCCAACAATAAATACGGTCCGAAAACATGCATTAAAAGAACATAACTACCAAAATTTCAACATGAATCCATCCACCGAACCTTCCCTTTCATTCTCAAATTTATTACACCATTTTCCATGAAAGGTCCCCCCCTCCATGAAAAAAAGATTTATACATAACTAAGTCCATGGATATAGATTATTTCAAGATCAAAACACGTAGTAAAGTTTTATTTATTTTTTAAAAGTAAAAATTTAATTACGTGTTAAGTAAAAATTGACTAAAAATATAAGAGAAATACTTACCACATTCTTCTTACCATTGTTTTTCTAACACTCACTTCATTATAAGTTTAAATTTATTAAAAAGAATCACAAATTTGATAAATTTTACATCTCTTTCAGTGAAAAGTTTATTACACAGACTAGAATTATCATATAAATGTTCATAATCTTACAAATCACGACATTATATATATTTAAGTTTTTAATTTAATTATAAAAAATAATAATGCTACTTAATTATATATATCATTTGAAAACTAGTTAAAATTATATAATACAAGAGTAACTAACAACAAGATCTAATAATTTTTTCTCTTATCAAGATTCTACATTTAATAATGAATTTACTAAAATTTATTATTTTTAATAAATTTTGGTTAGTAATAATTTTTTAAAAAAAAATTAGATAAAATGTTAGTCATCATTCGTCAAAATATAGATACATGATTACCTAGACCATATAATAATATTTTCGACAATAATAAATGAAAATTCCCCTAGAATAACAAATTGACATAAAAGTTAATCATCCAATTAAACTCCCCTAAAAAATACTATTAAATACAAAACTAACAACAGAAGAAAAGAAAAGAAAAAAAAGACAAAAGAGTTGCGAAGAAGAGAAGCACGATGGAGCTAGCAAGAGGAGCAAAACCTAGACATCGACACTGCAACTCTGCAAGAGCTGAAGCTTGAGCGGCGCAGCCACGACCCCGACGGCGGTGGCGCGGTCTCCGTCGAGGCTGATGAAGGCGGGGCAGTTAACATAAAGATGGTAGCGTCCGGAGACCCAAGAGCCGACCTTCCACTTGAGGGCGCCGGTGAGCCTGACGTTGAGCATGAGGGCGGCGGCGCGCTGGTCCTGGCGGAGGGCTTCGAGGAGGAAGGGCGCGACGGGGACGGCGGCGGCGTAGAGGAAGGGGGACCAGAGGGTGAAGTCGTGGTGGCCCTGGTAGGCGTCGGGGAGGGCGGTGGGGAGGGAGATCTGCTGGCTCCGGTAGGCGGCGTGGAGGCGGAGGTGTTGGTAGTAGACGCCGATGCGGGCGTTGGGGTTGTGGCTGGAGAGGGTCACTTGCATGGTGAGGGAGAGCGTGTTGGGCGTGGCACTGGAGAGGTTGAAGCTGTAGAGGGTCGCGTCTTGGAGGATGACGTGGGGCTTCGTGGGCCTGAGGATCAGGAAGATGAGGAGGATCGTCAGGAGGATCACCACCAGGAAGGAGGTGCCGCCGATCAGAATCAGCCGCAGCACGTGCCGGCGCTCCGCCTCGTGGTGCCCGCATTCCTTGATGGACATGGTTGGAGGGTATGAGTGAGTCAGGAAGTGGAGTGTGTACGTATATATGCAAGGATGAACTATGATAATGCAAAATCTTTCTACGTGTTGCTTCTCTTCTACACCTTGAAAAAGAAAATGAAATAGTAACAGAAAAACAAGTATAATATAATGTCTCATAAAAAAAAAAATCCAAATTTAGAATATAAAATTTAAACCTAACTCAATCCTATATAATTTATAAGACAAGGGTCACTCTTCGCTTAGAATAGTAAAAAATAATATATCTAGATAGATCTGATATTATTTTAAAATAGTAAAATTGAGTCTAATTCAATTTTATAAAATTAATTTTTAAAATAAAGATTACTTCATTTATATATTCTTTAATATTATGTTAGTATAGTAATTTTGTATCTAACTTTATACAGTAATAATTACTCTTCATTTATATAATCAATGTTGGGTTCATTTATTTGATTTTTTTTTTGTTTCGTTTTATTTTAGTTTTAATTTCCATATTAGCGGTGTGAATTCAATTAAGTAGGTTACAGGATCACATGTTTTCTATGGCATAAATTAATGACAATGTCAATTATATATATTAATGTAGGTATTACCTATGCTAGAAGCCTCGCAGATTTGGGAAGTATGGTTAAATTGTTATGAAGTTGAATTAACTAAAATGAGTTGCAGTTGCACAGTACGTCCTTTACTGTTGAAACATTAATGGGTAAATGGTTGTCGATCCTTGTCTGTGGCATGGTATGATATATTATATAAGGCAGTTAGATGGTTTCATTAACTATTATACTACTATATGTTAAGTTGATGTTAATTAGTACAGGACTACAGGTACTGTAGTTAGAAATTTCGAGAACAGTGAAGAAGATTGCTACTTGCTACCTAGACTTCGGAAAAGACGAGACACCATTCGTCACTTGATATCAACTATTCAGTCGGTGATCTAATTAATTGTAATTTGTAAGAAGACAATTTTTATGATCTAAATTTGGGTTTCCCTGAAATCGATTTTTACTATAAATGCAGAAAATTTAATTTGAGATGAGGTATTTATCTATTTAGTATCTATAAATTCTTGAGAGAAGTTATTTCGTGTTCGATAAAGATATTCTTCGGTAATAAATAAAAAAGAAAAACCTTGCAATATAAGGAAAATAAGATCTGCTAGATAATAGACTAGAGTGCAAATAGATCCGGATTTTCTGACTTTAAAATATCAAAGTTATAGTAACTTAACGCATCTCAATCGTTGGATTTGTAATAATAGATCAGATTATAACACGTGTACAAAATATATTTTAATTTAAATGTACACGTGTCACATTCTAATCTATTATTACAAATCTAATGGTTTAAATATGTAAAGTTTCCCTCAAAAAACTGAGGGATCTATTTCCGAGTGCAAATGCAGATTTTCATTGTTTCATTTTGCAGAAGAAGTCAGAAAAGTGAATGCTTGTTTTGATAATTCCACAACCTTATGCCAAGGAGTGATGAGGATATCATGTGCCTTTTAATTTTTCTAAGAGTTCGAGGTCAAATCAAATTCAAATAAAAAATAATGAAATTGTGACAGGGAGAAGAAAACACATCAACAAAACAGCACGCACTTGTCTTTATGACAATACTTTCTAACATGATGTTACTATTTAATTATGGCGTTACATGTTCAGAGCATTTATTATAGCGTGGAACGCGCGTTTTATTTATTTAAAAATTAAGTTCGTTAAAAAAGTAAGACTATCTCATTTCTCTCTTTTTAAATATGTTTTCAAGTTTTTTAAATTTAGAATAATTTTTTTAATTTATAATTATTATTTTTAATTTTTAAAATTTTAAAAATATTATTTTAATTCTTTAAGTCATAAATAACATATCTAAAAGTGATAGATTAAGATAATTAGATAGTATCAACCAAATTTAATGTAATATTTTTTATACGATAATATTTAACAAATTTTCTAAAAGATTTGAATATAAGAATTAATATAAGATTTTTTTTTTTAATTATTGGAACTAAAAAAATTAATTTTAAAATTTAAAGACTAAAAATAAATTTACCTTCAATTTGAGAGATTAAAAATATATTTAAGTCTTTTTAATTTTTTTAATATACATTTTGGTCTCTCAAGTATATTTGATTTTGTCTTTCAAGTATCCTAATTGTGTAATTTTTGGTTTCTCAATTTTTAATTAAACGATTTTAGTCCTTAAAGTACCACATTCATATGATTTTAGTCTCTAAAGTATCTCAATAATATAATTTTTTACTTATTTAATTAAGTTACATGTATTAGTAATTTAATGATATATATATCATTTAATACACAAATAAAATTTGTATTATATAAAATTTAAATAAGTCAAAAATTGTATAATTGTGATGTTTAAGTCACTAAAATCATATAATTGTAATAATTGAGAGATTAAAATTACTTAATTAAAATTTAAGGACTAAACTCGCTCATTACAATACTTGAAGAATTAAAATTATTCAATTATAACCTTCTTTTTAATGTTACTATAATTTTTTTCGTCTATTACATTAAAGACTAATCTCACTTATAGTATTGTGATTGTCACTGGTTTGACAAATGTTTACATGTGAAGAATATTAAATATAGATTTTCCACTACATATATTATCTCCACAATATAGTACAAGATGCCTAATCATTAAGTCAACACATCAAATTTATAATGTTTAATATTTAAATACACAAATTAAAAAATATAATTAATACTTTTAGAAAAATAATATAATTAATACTTTTAGAAAAATAGTAACTTTTAATATATTTTGTCATTTATGTCAATTAAATTTTCTTCCATTTATATTTTTATTTTTCATTTCATAATAAATATCTCATCTCATTTTGTTTTATTTTTTTTTTGGTCATGCGACATGTTTTCTCTGACTTATTTGATTAGAAATTAATCTCGTTCATAATACTATGATTGTCACTAGTCTGACAAAATTTCACGCAATAAAAAACAAATCCAAATTTTTTTGCTATATAAATAGTCCCCACAAAAAAGTGAGTGTAGGGTGCTTAATCATACTAAGTCAACCCATTAGATTTATAATATTTAGGATAAATTATATTTTTAGTTTCTTTATTTATGTTTAATATTCAATGTAGTCCCAATATTTTTAAAAGGTTCAATTTGATCATTTTATTAAAAAAAATCTTCAATTTGATCTTTTTATTTTTTAAAATCTTCAATTTGATCATTTATAAAATTTCTTTATGCATATTTTATCTTATAGAAAAATTTGTTATATTTCATTTTATTTTAAAAATATTTATAAAAGAATTTATTCAAACAATGAAATCAATGTTGTTTTACTTAATTAAATAATGGATGTATCGATTTTAGAAAAAGAAAAGAAAATTAATGAAGGATTTGGTCCCCCAAAATTCTGTTAGGTGGCTGAGACATTGTGGGGTCTTGATTTCCAAAGATCAGTCACCATATATTAGATTCATAGCTTGTAGCTTTATAGTAGTCGGAAGCAAGTGCTTTACTACATATGTATGTGATTACTTATTGTATACACCCACCTCCAAGTCCTATTCAATATAGTCTTTCAAGTTTTAACTTCATGATTTCAAAAGCATTAAAATAAGAGAGTTTTTTGGCCCACACAAGCTATCAAGCAAGGTTCAATAGTTTGAGATTTGCATCGTATTTATCTTCGCCTGTGTCTATTTTCATTTCCTCTACGGTGACATTGAATCTTACAAATAAACAAAAGGGGTAGTGGCATTTTCTTGGAACCTACACTTTGTATATCCCATAACACTATCTTTTTATCTTCAGAAAACGATTCAAAATTAAAGGGAACGGACAAAATACAAAAGCTATTTAGGAATAAAGCAATACAGAGTCACATGATATCCCTACGTACACTGATGTAAGATTCAAATGAGAACAAAAATCGTAAATTAAAGGGAAGGAAAAGCATATGATAAAACTTAAAAGGGCGAAGGAAAGGAATCATTTTCAATCCAAAAACTTTACCATTGTAAGATAATTGCATTTGTTTGCAATATTGGATGTATGATTGAGAGCAACGTAAAGGAACCAAAGTTGTAATAAGAGCGAATGACGAAAAGGGAATAGATAATCAACTAAAGTTCTTGCTTGTGACGAACGGGTTTACAAAATATGTATTATTTTTATTTTCCTATTATCGTTCATTAACAATTTACAATAATCTGTCATGATTATTATACTTACGGATCATCTACTACTAGTTAGTGGTGAAAAGACAACTAACCACTTAAGATTATATACTCGTGATATATGGATATGTACAATATAATATGTATATAAACATAGTGTAACTCTACAAGTATATACAATGTATGTACAATCATCTAGTAAGTACAATATAAATAATTTTAAGTTATCGATCAAGTAACGTTTATACAAGACCTCTTAAAATAGTTAGAAGCTACAAGCCATCAGCATGGCTCCACAACTCTTATCAAGCTCTTATTATCCCTATCATGCTTCCATAATCTAACCACCAGAAAACATGTAAGCGTAAACTATATTTAAAAGAATACAAGTATAAGAATGAAACATCTATACTACTTGTCAATATGCAAACCATCAAATCAACAACTCATGGCTCACGCATCATACTACAATCACCAAATTCACCAACATGTTTGAAAGTTAAACACACAAGCAATTCAAACATTCACCACAATCACATCATACAACAAGGTATTCACACTATGCATATGAACAATAATCAACTCACACCACATCATATACATACACTATCACTAATAACTATCACTAATGTGTCGTCACACATTTACCTACTAAAATCTCCTAACACACTTGAGCAATTTAAGTAGTTTGATCTTATTGAACCAACTTGATCGTTTTCACACTCAATACACCCGCTATATTGACAACTAAAATGGGATACCTGTAACCCCCTCTCCAAATTACATATGCTAATCATAACTAATTATTTATGGTTACTAATATTTATATTATTAGTATAATATGTAGAAAAGATGCTTAAACAAATGAAGACATTTATATTAAAAATAAATTTATTAAATACAAGTCACTAGATATTACA